TTTGTGTACACAAACATAAAGTACGATCGATTTGAATTTGATTTGATTTGATTTGGCTTGTATGCCACTCTATTCCCGAGAGACTCAGGGCGGCTAACAATAAAAAGGCAAAGGGCTACAGAAATAAAAAATAGAAAACAGCAATTTAAAAGTCAACAACAGCCGTAACCTCGAATGGGGCTGGATAATTCAACAGCCCCAGGCCTGCCGGAACAGCCAGGTCTTAGTTGCTTTGTGGAAGGCCGGAAGGGGAGTAAGGGTCCAGATCTCAATGGGGAGATCGTTCCATAGGGCCAGAGCAGCCACAGAGAAGGCACTCCCCCGGGGGGTCACCAGCCAACATTGGCCGGCAGATGGAATTCGGAGGAGGCCTAGTCTGTGGGATCTAATAGGTCTTTGGGAGGTGACTGGCAGGAGGCGGTCTCTCAAGTAACCAGGTCATGCACGGTGGGGTTGAGCTGGGCCAACGGCTCGCGTGCCCACAGAGAGGGCTCTGCATGCCACAGGTTCACCATCATGGCTTTAAACTAACTTCTAAGTCCTTCTTAGGGCAACGTGGCACAATACCATATCAGAGTTGCTTTTTCACTTGCATTTTAGCAGAACTCATGCGTGACTCACAAAGAGATGGATAGCTTCTTTGAAAACTCAACACTTTGGCCATCTGTGCAAAAGTTTTAGAAGCAATATTAATTGTTTTAAGGAGACCGTATCTTTTTCCTCTTTCTATCAGCCTCAGTGAAATCTTGCTAAAGAGTTATTTTGTTGAATTATGAGTCTCAAGGGCCATCCGGAGGCATAAAGTGGAATGCAAATTTCAGTTATTTAATTCTTCAACTTGATAAAATAAAGTTATCCAATGGGTTCTTAATTACCACCAAAGTATAGAAGTCAGCAATTAATGTAAGGCAAGTTTAATGTTTCAGTGCTTTAAGTGTATTTTTTATTGACAATAAATGTGATGGCATTTGATGAATGATGACTTATGTTTTATCCTGATAAAACTTGTACTGTCACAACATTCTCTTCTAGCGTGTTTAATGGTTCAATCTGACTGGAGCTGGAAGGGACCTTGGAGGTGTTCTTGTCCAACCCCCTGGTCAAGCAGGAGACCTTATACCATTTCAGACAGGTGGCTGTCCAAGCTTTTCTTTAAAAAACTCCAGTGATGAAGAACCCACAACTTCAATGGCAAACTGTTCCACTGATTAATTGTCCTCATTGTTAGGAAGTTTCTACTTAATTTCAGGTTGCTTCTCTCCTTGTTTAATTTCCATCCACTCCATAATGTTGCTTGTGTTTCCTTGCTTAGGTATGCCTCTTTGTGGAAAGGATGCCTTACGCTTTATACTGGAAGGGGAGGTGACCTGCAAAAAATTGGGGAGTGAGTATCTCATTTTGCACATAATCTGTTCATTGTTTGAAGCCTGATAGGCAAAATCCAGGCCTTAAAATCCAGGCCATTTACTACTACTCTGGTGTTGATTCAACATTATTTAGTTTTATTCTGGCTGAAAGTGGGATGGGGGGGGATTATAGCGCTTGGGAACTTCAATAGCTAAGAAATGGCATCTTGATCAGTCTTTTCCATCCTGCATAATTTATGTCTTTTGAATATTAGTTGTAAGCAGGTAAGTTTAGCCATTTGTTAGGTTAAGACATTGTCACTTTCAAGGACTTGCAGCACGAAAATCTGAAGTCCTCTATTTATTCACAGGCCAGGTACGGTAGAGGCAGCCGCAATGCGAGCTTCCACATCCTACTCTGGTATTGCGCTCCAATCTGTCCTGGAGGAGCCAGCCTCTCTAGGGGTGTAAAGGTAAATTTCCCCCTCTATGTAGCAGAATCTTTTAGGTTCTAATTAAGGTCTCTGAGATCTACTGTGTCCTGAATGGTTGCCGTGTCTAGCATTTATCAACTTTGTGTAGGCTATTCATTGAGACCGGTAATAAAACTTTAAAAGCAAAGAACTGGACCCGTTCAGGTTTTTTCTTCTTTACTTTAGGGGCTGGTTCATCTTGACATGAATGATGGTGGGAGCATTAGATGATCACCAAACGTTTAACCCTGTATTGAAGATGTGCTGAAAATGTTTGTCTCTCCTTGCATTGTGTTAGATGCAATGGAAGAATTCTTGGCATTCAGCTCTCTGTTTTCTGTGAATTGGGCTAGCCTTGTGTATTCAATAAACGGCGATTAATGTGCTAGTGACCCCATTCAAACTTTTCAATAATTGGTTCATAATTCATCTTCCAGTCATTCTGTCATAATCATGCATTGTGAACCAGGCCAGACTAGATAGGAATATTTAGGGCATAGTTCGAACAGTTGGAATGTTAAGTGGCCTCTTGTGTGATTATACTAAGTCTAATTTATGCAATGTGACCTCCGATTATTCACAGTACATTACCTTCCATTATATCTGCTTCCATTTTTTTTTTATTAAAGCAAAAAATCCACAGGGTGTCTGGATTTAGAGAAGATTAGTATACATTTCTAAAAGAGATGATGGCTATCAGATTTTAGTTTGGGGAGGCTAAGTGAGATATAGTGCTTCACAGTGCTTTACAGCACTCTCTAAGCCAGTGTTTCTCAACCTTGGCAATTTGAAGATGTCCGGACTTCAACTCCCAGAATTCCCCAGCCAGTCCAGACATCTTCAAGTTGCCAAGGTTGAGAAACACTGCTCTAAGCAGTTTATAGAGTCAGAATATTGCCCTCAACAGTCTGGGTCCTCATTTTATCCATCTCGGAAGGATGGAAGGCTGAATCAACCTTGAGCCGTTCAGAATTGAACTGCTGGCAGCCGGCAGCCAACAGAAGTAGCTTGCAGTACTGCATTCTAACCACTGCGCCACCACGGATGTTGTCATAAAGGGGGAAAAGTGAACATGAATAGTTTTGTTAGAAGATAAGTGTTGCAATGGAAATGGCAGAGGGGTGGGTATTTTAGCAAAAACAAGGCTGATCGCCTGATGATCTGGATTTAGAGAAGATTATACATTTCTAAAAGAGATGGCTATCTGATTTTTAGTTTTGGGACGCTAAGTGATGCCAGAGATTGAAATGCATTTGTTTTGGATTTGCCAGTGTGAAAGAACATTCTGCTGAGCACAATGTCACTTAATAGATTCTACCCCACAGGAGACTCAGACGCCAAATACAATTGTTTTGGTAGAAGAGGTTTTAAAGAGCAATTTAAGATGCAGAATTTTGGGGTTGCCACATTTGGAATGTTAACCGATCCTAAAACACTTCTCTTTGGAACTTGTTGCACACTAGCCTTACTGTGTCTTCTCTGCATGGCTCAAATCTAGGCATGTTTTCATACAAGCGAGGCATTCATGATTCAGTGGATCTCCCTCTCAGGGAAAACGTACAAAGGGTTGCAGCCCTGGTGTGTATCCTTCTGCAGAAATGATTAGAATGTTAAATACGGGCATCTTAGCAGCAGAAGGAAAATGGGGGCTTAGAATTGCAACCTTGGAGGTCGGTCCTGTGGTTTGCACACGCTTTAGTTTTCTCTGGGCCTGAACTTTGGATAAGCTAAAGACATCGAATTTGTGTTTCTCATTGGGGGGGTCTTGTAGCCCTTTCTGGTTACCTCTGGGGTTTATTGCTGGAAACTGGACAGAGGTTGCAGAAATAGTTGCAGCAAGAAACTTCATTCTCTCATGAGCTTGTTTTTCTGTACAGGTTCTGCATGGTGTATTCAGAAGTGCCCAATTTCAGTGAACCCAGTTCAGATCACCCAGGGCAGCCGAATAAAGTGGTAGGTTTTGTCACATGCAGCACCATTCTGGGGTCTGCCATCAGCAGCTTTTAAGATAGGTTTTTCTTGGGTCTTATCTAATACGAGCTTTCGCTGCAGTGGATTTCCCCCCCCCCCCCATCTTTATGGGAACAATGGGCGTTTAAATGAGTGGGGTGGGGGGGATAACTTTTTCAAGGAGAAAATGGTTTGTTTTCTTAATGCTTTTCTCCCCCCCTCCCCCTTTTGCGTTTCTTTTTTCAAGGCACAGGGTGAGCAGGCTAATTCTGGTACTTGTACTTTTGGGCCAACTGGTAAGTAAAGTGTATGGGAAGTAGGAGAAAACATGGAAATGGCTATTTGGGAAGATGCCTCCGTTTAAATTGGTGGTTGATTTTTAATAGGCAAAGCTAAGAAACTACAGTTAACTTTTGGCTTGCTCCTAGATTAACCATAATAATAAAAGCCAAATTTGATACAGAACTTAAAACAGCAAGTCAACTTTACATGCCTAGCCCTGGACTCATCACTAATGACTCCAAAGTCATTGACTAAGATGAGCGGCTATAGAAATTAAATAAATTTAAATAATAAATCCAAAACTTTGCTAGACAAATCTCGGAGGAGTATTCACTGCTTCTTGTCCAGTCAGGTTTTGATAATACGTCTCAGTTTACATCTCCCATTCCACAATTTCATTTCACAAATAAATAAACCATGGGCAGGCTAGGCGTCTGATTCCTTTGGCATAACCCCATACACATCAACCATTTTATCAACATAACTTACTGGGGAGGGTTCCACCACAAAACCGCGGTAGACTAAAGCGCGCTCGATAAAAGCGCGTACCTGACGTCATCACAGTGCGACGAAAACATCACGCTGTGAGCGGTAAAGTTAAAATTAACGCGAAAACCTTACCCTAACCCCCAAACCTAACCCTTAACCTAACCCTAAACCTAACTCTAAACCTAACCCTTAACCTAACGCTAAACCTAACGCTAACCTAACCCTAAACCTAACTCTAAACCTAACCCTTAACCTAACGCTAAACCTAACGCTAACCTAACCCTAAACCTAACTCTAAACCTAACCCTTAACCTAACGCTA